TTATTAATGGCTCACTGTCAAAGTAGGAAAGTATATCTAAATAGGTGTTCCAGGGGTCAGCCCTGGGTCTGATACTAGTCAATATTTTCATGTAAAGACATGGATAATGAAGTGAAGAGCAGTATTTCCTCTAAGCTGTGTGGCAGCACAGCTTCACAGGTGATTAATCAGCCCTGCCTAGTCAGAGGCATGGAGCTGATTTACCAGGCAGGGCTATTTAATCACCTGTGCAGCTGTATTCCCATGCAGCTTAGAGGGAACACTGGTGGAGAGAGGATGTTTATAAAATTTACAGAGTACACTAAACTGTGAGGAGTTGCAAATACTTCTGGAGGACAAGATTAAAATTCAGAATGATCTTGACCAATTGGAGAATTGGTCTGAATTCAACAAAATGGAATGCAATGAAAATAAGTGCAAGGTACTTCATATACCAAGGAAAAATCAAATGCACAACTACGTAAGCAAATAACTGGCAAGGTGGTATTACTGCTGAGAAGGATGTGGCGGTTATAAGTGAAACAAACTGAATGAGTCAATACTGATATAGTTGTGAAAAAGCTAATATACTTTTGGGACTTATTAACATAAGCTTTGTGAGCTCGCTGTTCTACTCTACTGTCATGGTGAGGCCTCAGCTGGAGTACAGTGTATGTCCAATTCTGGGTGGCACACTTTAGGAAAGATATGGACAAATGGGGGAGAGTCCAGAGGAAAGCAACAAAAATGATTCAAAACTTAGGAAAAGTTAAAAATAATATTTAACTGAGCAAATAAGACTGAAACAGGAACTGATAGTCTTCAAATATATTAAGGGCTCTTATAAAGAAGACAGGGATCAATTGTTTTTCTTGTCCACTGGAGAATGAACACATTACTTCTTGCCCTGTCTTGTTTAGGTCATGTAGTTGGTAAAACTTGGGTACTTTAAGTTTGGAATAGACTACCAAGGAAGGTTGTGAGTACCAGAGCTTGGTCACAGTATTCCAATAATGCTCATGCCAATGCAATATATGGAGCGTAATTACACCTCCCTATTCTTACTTGATATTTTTCTGCTTCTACATCCAAGGATCACATTTACCTTTTTAGCTATAGCACTGCACTCAGTGCTTGGGTGCAACTGGTCACCTACCATGACCCCTAACTTACCTTCAATGCCACTACAGTCTATCATGCAGTCCTCTGTGTTGTGTGATCTATGGTCTCTATTCATAAATGTTTTACTTTACATTTGGCTGTATTAAAATGCATGTTGTTGAAAAAAGCGTGTCTCTATAACTGACTTGTTCCCATAGGGTATGTCTACACTACAGCATTAATTCGAGTTAGTTCAAATTAACTATTTTGAATTAAGTTAAGCTAATTCAAAATAATGCATCTATACACAAAACCTATTTCGAAATAGCGCGTCCACATTGAGTGGACCCTGAACCAAAGTTAAGGCTGGCCAGAACCAGTGCGGCAGGGCATTAGGTTAGGACTTAGTGTGTGGGGCTGCTGCCGGAGGCTAACTGAGCTCCGTGCCCCTACCCCGGACAGATATTCTCAGGGTTCCCTGCTTGCTTGTCTACCTCAATGAGGGACAGCAAAGCAGTCCTGTCTTGGAGTACCCTGAGTGCCCATACTCGGGATACCACAGCACTTGGCCACATGGAGCCAGAGCTGCCCCTGGGCACGCCGGTGCATCTCATGGGGTTGTTGCCATCAGCCCAACTGCACTTGCTGCAGGCTGCCATCCAGGGGGTCCATCGGGGGGCTGTCAGGATCCAGGAGGCCCTGCGGGAGAGAGTCCACCCTGAGGAGCCCTCAGAGCCTCCCCGGTCCTCCCCACCTGGGGCTCGTGCCCCATTCCTCCCTCACGTCCTTCCACTTACCCCTCCCTGGCCCCCCTTCCTGATGTCAAATAAAAGACACCATATACCAAGGAAAAATCAAATGCACAACTACGTAAGCAAATAACTGGCAAGGTGGTATTACTGCTGAGAAGGATGTGGCGGTTATAAGTGAAACAAACTGAATGAGTCAATACTGATATAGTTGTGAAAAAGCTAATATACTTTTGGGACTTATTAACATAAGCTTTGTGAGCTCGCTGTTCTACTCTACTGTCATGGTGAGGCCTCAGCTGGAGTACAGTGTATGTCCAATTCTGGGTGGCACACTTTAGGAAAGATATGGACAAATGGGGGAGAGTCCAGAGGAAAGCAACAAAAATGATTCAAAACTTAGGAAAAGTTAAAAATAATATTTAACTGAGCAAATAAGACTGAAACAGGAACTGATAGTCTTCAAATATATTAAGGGCTCTTATAAAGAAGACAGGGATCAATTGTTTTTCTTGTCCACTGGAGAATGAACACATTACTTCTTGCCCTGTCTTGTTTAGGTCATGTAGTTGGTAAAACTTGGGTACTTTAAGTTTGGAATAGACTACCAAGGAAGGTTGTGAGTACCAGAGCTTGGTCACAGTATTCCAATAATGCTCATGCCAATGCAATATATGGAGCGTAATTACACCTCCCTATTCTTACTTGATATTTTTCTGCTTCTACATCCAAGGATCACATTTACCTTTTTAGCTATAGCACTGCACTCAGTGCTTGGGTGCAACTGGTCA